GCTTTTTTTAGACAAGCCCATCTATCCTCATTACAGTGTTTTCTAAATTGGAGCCAACAATTATGTAGACCTATTAATTGGGGAAAATGCTGTAGTGCGTTTAATTGTAAAGAAATCTAAAAATTCCATGCTGCTTGCATTGACTGGAGAGCTTGGAAAACAAAGTACTGTGCCATGCCACCGAGACAACAGGGTTTGTTTCACCTCTTAGAACTGATGGAATCCAGGTTTACTTGCAATACCCAGCAGAGTTTGAGCATTAAACCTCCTGAATTCTTCCACTATAATCAGGTGCAGAACAAATACTTAACATGATACTGACTGAAAACAGCAGCTTTTCACTTTTTAGCAATGACATTAAAGACAGTTATTCTCTGCTTCCCATGGAGAAGAATTTGTACAACTTCAAAGCAATACTGATGTATAGTTACATCAAGAAAAAAGTCTCATTTTGTAGTTCTTAATGATATGAGAATTATGTGGTAGGAGTAAATAAATATACAGTTTATAGAAGTCTACTGTATTTTGGGTCTGGAAACATAACACTTCCACATATCTTGATGATAGTTGGGAGCGAGTGCTGCTAGTGTACACGCTTGGCTCTTTTCAGAGCAGGTTGTATCCAGCCGCCTCTGCTTTCGTTATGGCTAGTCATCCAAGCACAAGTATTTAAGCTCCAATTTATTTACGTTATAAAAAAAAAAAAAAACCCTTTTGATTTAATTAATAGTTTTATTGGCCCTTGAGGGAGGAAGACAGACCTTGCACTTCCAGAAAATATTAAGTATCTGCCAGGCCCCAGGAAGAAAGTAAAATGGTGAGGGCTAGCTACTTTGTGGTCACTAATAATTCAGAATTATGCTCTAACATAATCTAGCTATCTAATTCAGAAGCAGCAAATGTGCTGGGAATTGTACAAATCACTTTGCTTAGAGAGAGACTCTTATGAATCTGTATTCACTTCACAAAGCTGGTTTCATCTCCACATCCAAAAGTTCCCTATGTCTCCAAGTACTGAGAGTAGCGTGGATTGATGGCAATTTGATCAGTACCTGATCAAACTATAACGCACATCTTGATTCAGTCTGCCCCCCCCTCCAAAAAAAACCCTGCATAACATATACTCATTTTCAAACACAAGCAGCAATTTTATAAACTTAAATATTTTGGAACAAAAGAGTCAATAAAAGAATTACAAGTATGTGCTTTTTGAATAGTCCCAAATTTTGAGTTGGTTGGCCCTATTTTTAGTGGTGGAAAAGCACCTTTCCCCTTACAACTAACAAAGCAAATTTGATAATTACTGTTACTCTCCTCCTGAAGGACGACCATCAAAATTAACGCCGCTTTGGTGGGTTTCTTATTTTTTGAAGGAAATTCTGCCCTGTATTTGTTCGAATGCTACGATACGAGAACGGAGAGCTGGCACACAAAGCCCAGCATGCTGACTCAGCGCTGCAGCCATGGGATGGTGGAGGCGAATGGCCTCATTTACGTGTGTGGAGGAAGCTTGGGAAACAATGTTTCTGGAAGAGTACTCAATTCCTGTGAAGTTTATGATCCAGCCACCGAAACGTAAGTGTTGTATCAACTCTGAATGTTTTTGGTCACTTCAAGCTTTGTTCAGCCAAGGAATGCATGAAATAGAGATGAATAGGAAAAATTGTGTGCATTAAAGTATTTTCCCTAGTTAAGTAGTAACATAACAGTTACTTGTAGTTTTACTTGAAAGGCTAATTTTCTTCAGCTTCCTTTCATATTCCCAACTCCAGGATTTATTTATGTATTTTATATTTATTTTCTAGGAACTAAATAGTCAATTTTGCTGTGGTATTGTGTTGTTTTTTCTAGGTGGACTGAGCTGTGTCCAATGATTGAGGCCAGGAAGAATCATGGGCTGGTGTTTGTAAAGGACAAAATATTTGCTGTGGGTGGACAAAATGGCTCAGGTACTCCAGCACTTGTAATCCTCTGCACGGTCTCACAAGGTTTCATGGGAGGCTTTTGCAAAGAATTCATTCTACTTTAGTCAGCTGAAAAACTTTGAGCAGTACTATAAAACATGTGCTGCTGATGCATCGTTGTTGCCCTCCTTTCTCCTCCTTACATCACTATATCTCATTTCCCAAAGCATTTTACTAATGATAATACAGTTAAATTCAGAAACGCACCGTGTTTTAGCCTAGTTCTGCAGTAGCTTAGTGTGGCTAAGCTTAAGAAAAGGTAATTTTTTGGATGAGTTAGCTTTTTTAGTCCTTTATTATGTATTTGAGAAACTTTGTTATTCCCCTAAGAGACAGGTAAAAATGTAGCCATTGTTTTGGGAACTTCAATCTAAGTGAGCTATTTTCAAGTGGTGAGAAAGTAAGAATTTTCTTGACTGCCCTAGTTAATGAAATATGACTGACTGTCATAGGCAGGTCACTTTATGATCTATCTCCTGATCTGTAAAAGTAGAGTGATAGCTTATCTCCCAGGACAGTTTAATTTTAATTTTAATTACATAGGGTTTCTGAAGTGCTTTTGAAAATGAAAACTTCTCTGCTAGGAGATTTATTAATTATTATTTATGGTAACCAGAATATCTAATTTCACATTAATACTGTTTTAGAATAGAGCTTTTACTTTAATTAGTTACTGAAACTATTCCAACATGATTGACTCTTAATTTAAAAATAGCAGTAGATAAAATCTTTGTACTTTATCTAATAGTTATGGTTAGAACTGCCACTTTGCAAAATTTTAGTGTATTTGCTGAATGTGTATTCCAAGGCAATAAGTATTTTGCTACTTATATTCTGCAACCATACTGATAAATTGTTCTTAATATAATGGTGAAGAACTATGGGATGAAATATTTATACCTCTTGAGATTAGACCTGAGAGATTCATTTCTACAATAATTCATGTCTGGAAGCGAAAACTTTTCTGTGCCTCATAGTCATTGTTAAATAGGGATAACAAGTTGTTTGTAGATCATATGAAGCATGATAACTGCCCGTTTCCTAAAGAAACAATTCGTACATAGATCTTATATTTTTGATCTTATAGAGATCTTATATTGATCTTATAGATCAAATGAATAACTTGAAACTATTGGCCCTTCCAAAGGCACTTAGGCCGTTACGATAGTAAAATCCTTGAAATTTATTGGAGAAACATCCCCCGTCAGTATATGACCTATTTAAGTAAAAGTATGCTGAAGACTCCTCTAGAATGACATGGTCGCACTAGAGGCAAGCTTGAGGTAGTTTCCTAACTCTTGGTTACTAGCCACAAATCCGTAATGTACTGGGCCTTGTTCTGTTCATGAAGCAACACATTAGAATCTTTAGTAAGTTAAATGTTAATCTTTATAGTGTGAAACTTGTAACAATATCTCTCATTTTCAGTCTCCTTTCTACTCTTCTTTCCCTATTTAAAAAGAGTAGGACAGCTAGTAAAGAAGCCTGTGGCCCTCCTTTTCAAGGATTTTTAGTTTGATCTCTCTTTCAATGTAAACCTTGCAAATAACTAAACTTTTATTAAGCATTTGTATGCTCAAGTTCAGCCTTGACAGTACATTGTAATAAGCAGTTATCTGTTTCATTGCTTTGTAGGTGGCCTTGATAACGTAGAATATTACGATATCAAGATGAATGAATGGAAGATGGTGTCTCCAATGCCATGGAAAGGTGTAACAGTGAAGTGTGCTGCTGTGGGATCTATAGTCTATGTCCTGGCTGGTTTTCAGGGTGTTGGTCGCTTAGGGCACATTCTTGAATATAATACTGAAACAGACAAGTGGATAGCCAACTCCAAAGTCCGTGCTTTCCCAGTGACGAGTTGTTTAATCTGTGTTGTAGACACTTGTGGTGCAAATGAAGAAACATTAGAGACCTGAAGACGTGTAGGAGATCCTGAGAAATTCTTCAAGGACTTGGGGAAAGATGGCCATTGGTACTTTGCTTCCATGTTTTACTGAATCTTGTTATACTGAGTAATAGGAAAAACTGAAATGCAGTCCTTCAATTTGTATATACAGCTTATTGTATAACATGGATTTTTGTGATGCCCATTTTATTGTCTGTTTTGAGATGGGGATGTGTTTTAAGAATCCACTTACCTACCTGAACACATATGCCATCTTCCTGTAAAAGGACTCTTTGTGTGGCCTTGTCAAAAAATAGACCCAAACCAGTTATTTAGAAGAACTCAAGGTATTTGATGAAGATAATGTTTCTGGTTAAATGACCCCCAAGCACAGTTACAGAGATTCTTCCTTTGATAAAGGTGAGTAAAGATAGCTTGGGTCATGAGAAATGTGAGCAAATTTTTCTCATTCATACATATCTGCAAAAATCTTACTGGGATGCAATGATTATTTTGCTCAGGAAAGACCAAGGACAGCAGTACTTAGATTCCTATAGTGAATGGGGATAGATTATACAGCTCTCCAGATTACAATAGGTGTTTTATTCTGGTGATTATCTTCCATCATCTGCATGACTGCATAGCGATTTTAAAGTCAGACAGGCCATATATATAGATAGATTTGAGAAATACTTTGCTTAATGTCATCTTTGGCATTTTGGGAAGCTCTCACAAAAGACTTTCCTATTTTATAAAGGCAGGGGGGAGGGAAAGGTCCACAATAATTGTGCACTATCGGATCGAGTTGGAAATTCAAGATATCAAACTCAGTACATCTTCCTAGGCAACCAGGCTGTACATACTGTGGATGCCAAACTGTTATCAAAGAAGTGAATAAGAATGGGAAAGCAAAGTCAATACAAAGAAAAGTATTGATTTTTATTGAAAATGACTGTTTTTAAAATGGCACGAACCAAGTCATTAAAGTTATTTTGCAGAAGCCTTCTGACGTTGCACATGATTATTAATCTCTGGTTTTGTAAATGTTTCCAGCCAACATGATACTAAAAGTGATCACAATTTTTCTTCCAGCATAAAGTTCAAGTTGTCAGGCTATCAGTGTCGATATTGCGTACGTTATTCTGAAAAACTACAAACTTCCATGCAGGTCTGTCCTCCTGCCATGCTAGTTCATGAAGATCCCAGTTTTGTCACTTTTCTAACTTGCCCATTCTTGCAGGTCTGGGTCTGTGGGACTACAGAGTTAAGGTTGATGCTTGCCCACCTGTATCTTACGTGTCACTGGTGGTGTGGATTTTTTTAGTCAACTTTATTTCTGAAGATCTCACAAGTACTGCAATTTCAGTTCTCAAAGCTTTTTTGTAACCTTCTTCCTGATAAACTTCTTCCAGATTTTCTTGTACCTCTTAACAACTCGGCATGTATGGAGAACAGTAGATGCGCTCAAGGGCTTAAAGGGGTTTATGTACCTCGGTTCTCTATTCAGGAGTAAGTGAATGATGTACAATGCTTTTTTTTCCCCCCATGCTTTTCTGTTTTTGAAAGAAACAAATGTCAGTGCCCTTTTTGATCCTTATAAAATACTGTAAACACTTTTCTGTACTCTTTAGGCTGCACAGGCTCTTTGATTTTTCGTATCCGCTTTTAAAAACGTGAAGCGCCTTTTTCTAACTTTGTTTTGAAGGGGTAACTTCTTAGGTTACTGAAAAACGCGTAAGGAGAAGGTTGTAAGAAGCAGGCTGGGTGCGCACCGGGCTGTGAGGGCTCCCCGTAACGGCCGTTTCGTGAGGGGCGCTGTGGTGGCGGCCCTGCTCTGTGCCCCTCCGTGCCTCGCCACCTGAGTGGGGCCACAGAGCCACGACGCTCCCCGTTACGGGCACCACCAGGGCATCGCTGTTCATCATTCCCTCGACTCGTACCATGCTGCGGTACCCCGTTACCTTGAGCCCACCCCCGCCCCGCCCCGCACACGCATAATGGCGGCGGCCGCCGGGCGGCACCCGCCCCGCACACGCATAATGGCGGCGGCCGCCGGGCGGCACCCGCCCCGCCCCGTTCCACCCCCGCCGCTGCTGCCTGGCGCCGGCCGTGACGCGGCGGCGGTTGCGCGCTGTGGCGGCCATGGCCATCTGCCAGTTCTTCCTGCAGGGCCGCTGCCGCTTCGGCGACAAGTGCTGGAACGAGCACCCCCGCGGCGGAGGGGGCCGCCAGCAAGGTACCGGGGGAGGGGGAGGAGGGTTGGGGAGCTGCCACAGCTGCCGCTTCTCACGGCCGGAGCCGGCGGCGGCAGGGGCTGGGCTCACCTGGGTGCCTTGGGCGGGTTTGGAGCTGTGCTTGTGTCGGCAGGCGCTGCCAGAGGGGGAGGAGGAGGAGGAGGAGGAGGAGGAGGATGGGGCGCCTCGACGCAGAGGTACAGCAGCGTTATCCAGCCGTCAGCCTTCAGGAGCAGCGCGTGGGGCGGCAGCCGGGAGCACGGCGGCGGCAGGAGCGCCGACTTCTCTCAGAACAGGTTCTCCGCCTTAAGCAGCCAAAGCCTCGGCGATGGCTACAGGGATGAAGACGAGAAACTTCTGTAAGTTATCAGCCTGCCTCCTCGGAAGGACTTACGATGAGCTAAAAGTTTACTGGGTAACGCAGAGGGTGCGGTCCCGAGGAGGGCAGCGGGGATGTGTGGGAGAAGCACAGAAAACCCTGCTTCATTTAATTCTCTTCAGTTCTGGTGCCATGGGAAGAGAGGGATCCTTGCATTGAACCCGGGCAGGGCAGCCAGCCAGCTGTGACAGGAGGATAAGGAAGGAGAAGCTAAGCTGTGTATTATCGTACATCTGAGCGCCTGTAACGTTTTGTTACTGTGGAATAATCTGCCTCTCCGCTTCAGTTTTTAACCTTTCACTGTTTGTTTACATTTGGATTTCAGCCTGTTGCTGTAGCTTCTATTTCTGTGCTTCCACCAAAGCTTTTTTTAAGCTTTTGATTCTTTTCCAAAACATATTGAGAGCACTTCTCTTACTTCCTCCCCCTTTACTGAATTTTGCTATTTAATACTGTGCACATTCATTCACATCATAATATCTTCTAATACTGAGAAGGTTCTAACTAGCCTGTGACAGCACGTGCCATCCAGGGATTAAACATACATTGCGTGTGTTTTTTTTAAAGACCTAGTTTAATTTACTTGCTTTACTCTATACTTTAGATGATACAGTAAAACGCTTTGAAGGGACACACATATCCTGCAGAATGAGTGCGTTTTTTTTCCAGAGAATTGTGTAGTTCTGTTGTTCATCCAGAGTAGCATCCTACTTAGCGTTAAACTTAATTCTGGTGTTTTCAGGTACTTAAATTTGACTCTGCTTGTGGTGGTTTTTTTTTGACTGCCTAGTTTCTCCTTCATTTGTTTTTACGCTTTGTTCTCTAGTGAATGTATAGTGAAAGACATGGAAATTTGGGAATCCTCAGGACAATGGATGTTTTCATCTTACTCACCTATGAAAGACAAGCCTAATATTACAGGTAGGTAATATTCTTAGTGTCACTGCGTACTGCTACTTTTTAGAATGTTCCTTATCCACATCTATTATACGTAGATATATTGCAAGGTGATCACTTGCCTTGTGATGCAACAGGAAGGAATGTTGGATTATTACCAACTCATTTTGCATACTCGCATCTTCTGTAGTTAATCCTTTTTGCAACACAAACAGTGACTGACTTATCACAGATGGTGTAGCAAGGCCCGTTTCTTCCTAACTAGAGAGGGTGACTGGAAGTTATATTTTCTTTGAGATTTTTGATTATTCGTCTCCTTGCAGGCTTTCAAGATTTCTCGCCAGAAGAATTGCGTCTGGAGTGTTACAACTGCAGAGCAAACAGTAGCGCTCAGACCTATGTAAGTATTTTAAAACGACTGGCTTTTTATTTCACTATAGGACTTGTTACTTGTCTTCGGGTGGCAACTCTTGACTCACTTGATTACCAGACTCAAGGAGATTATCAGAATACCAAAGTATTTTTAACTTGCTGTGCACTAAATAGTACACAAAATAGCTGCTAGTCTGAGTGCTCTGCCGTAACTTCTTATTTCTCTCCGATAATTATATGATACAGTCCTCAAAAATATGTAAGTATCCAAAGCATGTGTTTCTGTTGATAAACCAGGTCAAAATCTGAATTTTTCAGTCTGTTGTATAAGAACTGATACTAAATAATGTGATCTTGCAACATGTGACTAGACACAAAAGCATTATTGATGTTTGTGATGCAAGATCTTCTTGAAAAATTAAGAAATTCAGTTACAAAAAGATTAAGTGCTCTGCTCTTACAGGTACTTGGGACATCAGAATACTTTCTTAATTTTTAAGGAAAATTTGTTAGTCTAGACTTCAAATAGGGTGTTCTTGGAAACTTAAATGTGGGAAATTCAAGTTAGAAATTCCTGAAAAATAAGTTATTTAATAACTTCGGGGTTTCTTATTTAGCACTTTAATCACAGTTATCCAGACACAAGTACTATTTATTGCTGCATATGTTCTGTGCAGCAACCTGTTGGACTACATTAAAGGGACTGATTCAAATTAAGGAAGTTAATTTCTGCAAAACTAAATATTTTAGGATAATACTATTATATTGTTCTGAATTGTTTTATGTTTTGAAAGGGGTTGTTTGTTGTTTGTTTGTTTTTCTGAAAATGTGGGAGAAACTTAGGACTTCAGCTTGATTAGCGAGCCCATAAGTAAACGGGACAGATAAAAAACAAGAATAGAAAAGCTTAGTCTTTTATACATAAAACTCGAATCTTTTGTATTTTTTTTTGCAAGCACCTATTTCAGATAGTGATAGAGCTTAGATTTAGAAAGCTCCAGGACATTTTTTAATCTTACTGTTGCGTAAAGTGTAAAATAATAAAATAAAGGGTAATAGTAAGAGAATTGAAGGAATTCTGGGTTAATAAAAATTTCAGCTCCTCACCTTGAAATTTGAAGAGAGAAAAAATTCTGTCTTTTAGCTTAACTTTTTCTTTTTAATTCTAGATATTTTCTTGTAGTTTGCTATCAGATCATTCTAGTTCCATTTTATCAAGTCTAATAAAAACATGCTTGTCTTTTCCCTTGTTTTAGTTAAATTCCGTCCAACAATTAGTAAAAGGCTGGAAAGACAGGCTGCTGCAGTTGAAGACTTTAAATGCAACAACAAAAGTAGCATTGGTGAGTGTCAATGAAGGGTAAAATATTTCTGTTTCTGATGTCATTTTTTGCTTCATCTTTGGCAAAGTTTTGTGTTTTTTTGTCTTTTTTTTAAGATTCACATAGTTTCTGTTAAAAAGGCTATTAATTAAATGACATAGTTGTAATATTCCACCTTCTTTTTAATGAAAAAAGGATCTTCCAAATATTCCATAGAAAATTCAGCTGTTATTAAAGGGTTTAACTGCACAACTTTGTAAAATAAATAAATAAATAAATAAAATTAGGTAATAAGTATTGCTTTGAATATCTCAGGATACTGTTGTACAAGCAAATACACATGATTCTTCTAGGGCATCCTTTTTTGCAACTAAGTACCTGAGACCTGAAAATGTTTGGTTCCTGGATTTAGCAGCAGTTGTAGTGGTAGATACATGAATCGTTCTGAGGAAGAACACCTGGCATGAAAATGTTTGGCTGACTGGCAGCATGAAAATCTTGGCAGTAATCTGAAAACGGTAGAGAAACTGCGAAGTCTGGAAGGAGAAATTACATAAGAGAGTAATTGGAGCTTGAAACCTGCCTCATCCTTGCTTCAGTGTGGTTTTTATTGGTGAGAGAAGTGTGAGTGAATGCTCTAGCGCTGAGTCAGATGAACATGGAAGTCTTTGAACGCAGTTTGGGGTGTCAAATCCACCCTTCTCTGGAATCATGAAATCAGTGAGTTACTTGCAAGTTGGATTAGAAACAGAAATCTTTAGTTATGTAAGGAAAGTAGTAGTGAATCGGGATGATTCCAGTTAGGATGATGTTAGCAAAGCAGTGGCCAGGGTTGGAAAATGTTATCATTGCAAGCCACATGGGAGTAACTGTACCTTAGGGATGGGTCTGGGTCATATGCATGCGTAGCAGGGTGCAAACAGCCGGCCCCACCTTTTTTCCCCTGTGCTGATGGTGGCTTTTCTGAAGCGTAATCACTAGACCAGAACAGAATTGTCCTCCAGGCCATTTTAGGATAAATAGAGCATTTTGGTAATGCTAGAATGAGAAATTGATACATCTTTGATACAGAAGAGAGACTGTGTTTAGGTGAAATGGAAAGACTAGTTGTTAGGCTAGTTGTTCTTGGGAAGCTGGCAAACAGTTGTGAATCGAGATGTTTCAGAAGAGGATGCTCAAGAACAGTTAAAGCCAATATTAAATAATCACAGAGACAGTAAGTCATCAAGCTGAAGTCTGCTTGAAGTGCGTTCAAGTTTAAGAACAGACCCCTCAATATGTCCAGGGCTGAAAGTGAGGAGGTGGGATTCAGACTTCAGCACAGAAGACCAGATGTGTGAAGGTCAGAGAACAGAAGAAGCCAAAGCAGTGGCTCAAATCAAACAGACTAGAAAAGATGAGATAAAAACGAGAGCTCAGAGAGGTGTTTGGTCATTGCAATTTATCAATTTTTTTTTTTCTGTCAGTGAAGATATTTGTACTTCTAGGGTGTTTCACAGAAAATAGCCTCAAAGCAGTTTTTTTATACCTGCAGTTGCATGCAATTAGTGAAAATGATCAGTGTCTAACTTTGTCTAAGTTGTGTTCAATTGAATGGTGCAGCTGTTCTGTTCTTCCATATAATTATTGAAAGATACCGCCTGCTTTGGAATGTAGTTTTCATTTATGTATTTTGAATTTTTAAAGCTCACTGAGTTAAAGAACACGGTCATGCAGCCATCACCTTCATTTGGATTTGGAGGACAGCAAACATCCAGCTTCGGGGCGTCAAGTAAGTTCCTGCATTATGAACCAACTTTTTTTGAGTTTTCTTCTGCGGGATTGAAATAGCAGTGTTTTAGGATCGCAGGTGTACCCATTCTAAATGCATTTGTAATTGCAGGTTTTCCTGTGAACAGCAGCAGTACCAGTGCCAGCAATTTCTCCTTTAAAACAAGTTCCAGTCTCTTTGGTGCCTCATCAGGAAATGCCCCTGCTTTTGGGAGCTCTTCTGCAGGCTGCAATCCTCCTGCATTTGGTGCGATGTCTTCCACGAGCGTTTCCCATCCTCCTGCTTTTGGCAACCCATCAGCTCCCTCTGCAGCCTCCTTCTCGTTTAAGCTTTCTTCTGAACCAACCAGCAGTTTTGGATCTTCTGGGTTTTCAGGCTTTGGCAGTTCTTCTACTGTGAACTCTTCAAGCAGCGCTCCACTTCCAGCTTTTGGAGCTTTTAATGCAGCAGCACAAGCGTCCCCCTCACATTCGAGCAGCACTTTGTTTGGTCAGGCTGCCACTGCCTCTGGACATAACGTAACACCAGTGCCTTCTGTGCTCACAAATGGTGGTACAGCGGATAAGTTATTTACATCCAAGAGTGAATTAACAGCAGAGGAGTTGAAACAGTTTGAAGCAAAAAGGTTTATCATGGGAAAGATACCTCTTAGGCCACCACCGCTAGAACTTTTAAATATTTAAGACTTGTACGTTTATTCTGAAATGGCACGTTTTGTAGCTGGTCTATGACACCTCAAATACACAATATTGTGATTGACTCGTGAATTAAAATGCCTCTCTCTGAGATAAATTTTCATTTCATCTCAGTCTTCTGCAGTAATAAACACTTAAAAATTGAATTTTTTCATTCTGTATTTATTTTGGAGTTGACTTTTTATATCCATGAAATAAGCTACTGAAAATAAAATTTCTTAGTAAAAGTTCCCTTTTATATTCTGTACTGTGAACTTGTGGGCAAAACGTGTATTTAAAAACCTCTTGTCAAAGGCAGGAATGCTCTGGTGTGGCATTCACAGCTACTGTGAATAGAATGCTAGAAAGAAATGCACACAGTGCCAGCCTGCTTGTTGGACCACCTTGCTTTTGTCTCTTACTTACAGGCTTCATGCAGCCTCTGATAATTGTGGCTGGGCAGGGAAGGAGCAGACCACACAGGAGACCTCTGTGGCCCCGGAGGCAGTTCCCTTTCCCAGCTGATACAATTTAGGTTTTGTTGGTTGTTCTGCCTGAGGTCATGCTACACGCGTTCAAGTCATACACTTGGTGAGGGGCAGCCCTGAAAGCATTCATCGGGAATAAGAAACTTGCTGTTTGCTGTTTTGGCACATCTTAGATAAAACTTTTCAGCAACTGTAAAACTACTTATGACATTTGCATGACATGATGCAGTTTTGTTGTCTGGGCCTCGAATCTTGGTGGGTGCATGTGCCATACCCATACTGAACTGATGATACGAGGGTATTTTGCCAAGATGCTATAAAGCAGTGGTCAGAAATTTTCCAAAGGAGCTTCTAGAGTCAGGTGCAGACAATGTTAGTTCTTGGCCACACATTCCTATTGGCAGTTTAAAATCATTTAACCTCTTATTTAATAGGAAAGCAAAAAATGACCCTCTGATATACATAAGTCAATTGGCTGTTTCTTTAATGTCAAAGGTAACATTTCAGATCTTGCTATGGACTCATGGTCCTACTTAAAACTTGACTGTAAATGTGTTTCCTACTTAAAGGCTGTTGCAGGAAGATGGCTTGCTAAAATAGCGTGAACAGGTTTAAGATCTCGTATGACAGGGTATGGGTGGGCACTCTGCAGTCGTTCTGCTCCAGTAAAATCGGAGTTCCTCAGTCCATGTGCTCAGTGTACACGAACCATAAAATTGCATGTGTTATGTTACAGTGCTGGGTTGCTGTTATTAAACTTTTTGGGTGATTGTTTTGCAGATGAAGTAAGGCATCTGGTTTTTGTTATTGTTGTTAATGAACCAGTGCAAGCTTTGTGCAACCCATAAACAAAATACTGATACATTGGCTTGGAGCCCCGTTTCAATCTTATGAAACGTGTTTTTCTGAGCAGGATCTCTGGAGCAGCGCTAAGACTTGTTCAAATTAAGAAATGTGCATCTCTTAGGGCTCACTTAGCACTGGATCGCTTGTGCCAGTTACTCAGCTTTTGACACAGGAACTGAGGAACAAACCAAAATCCATTACGTAGCTGCAGAAAATCCACAACTTTACAGAAGCTATTAAACTCACATTTGTAAAAGCTTAGTATTTAACAACAACAACAAAGTGTGGCTTGTTAGATGAATTCCACAGCTGCCTAAACTTGGTCTATCCTATACCCTTTCCTGTATTTCATTTGTGAAGCCTTAGTGATTCTCAAACCCAAGTGTATCAGACAGCTAAAAGTTTTGTTTGTTTTTTAAGTTCCTGCAACATTTTTTTACTGTTGCCATATTAAAGCAGTATTCCAGCATGGCAAGAACATATTTAGGGGTAAAGGTGTAATAGACTGAAGTTCCACTGACAACCTCAAGGATCCCCTGGCATGCTTTCAGAAGACTGTGGATAATTTTGGCTTACATTTAAGGCAGCAAAGATTTTGAAGTCACCTGTGTTTTTCATTTTTTCCTGAACACTTATCCTCTGAAATAGGTTTAGAAAAAAAAAATAATAATAATGGACCAAAAGGAGGGGGAGGGGGACTAAATAGCACTTAAGGATACTCTGACGAATACTAAAGGGATCTTTCCTAAGTCGAAATATCTTCATACACAAGGGCAGTGAAAGATTGTTGACCTTCTGCACCTCAGTGCTGCTGCCATGCAGTGGAAGACCCTAAAGCAGCTCACTTCCAAACTGAAGCGATGAGCCGTCTAAAACCTTTCTAAAACCTTTACACTCTCATAGTATCTCAGCAGGTTGCTGCTGCTATGCTGCACTAAGATGTTTCAAGGCCTTGAAATGTGTAAGGGCTATTTAAGTCGAAGTACTGTTAACTAATGATAATAGGACCGTGAAAAATCTGACTAATCTGTTGCGTGTACCTGAATTAACAGCATTGGCTAGATGTTCTCAAACATCATCCTAGCCTACAGGGATGTAAGGGGAGAAGGGAATTTGGAAGTCCTAGGTCACTTTGCTGTAAGAAATGAAAAGAGCAAGGTTCAGGGAGGTATTCCTGCTTTAGATGATGATAAATGAAAATTCATGTTTGAGCAAGTTTTATAACAATTACTTTTTTAGATCCTCTCTTCACATGCTAAGAAAAATGAAACAATGCCTATAAAGGAAATATTAAAGGCTGGATGTTTCATCTCAAATGGTCTTCTGAGCATCTAAAAAGATGACAGAGAATAGTGTGAGACAAGAATTGGCGATATGACATTACTAGCAAAAGTCAAGCTGTCTATTTGGCTGCAGAAGTGGAGATAAGGACAGAATAGAAATAGTCTTGCTCTAATGGGCTTACTAAACTGCAGAAAATAAGCAACAATTTGTCAGTAGATCAAAGCAATCTTTCCCAATATTTGCTCTCTATTTCATTTTTTGCAGTTTGTCCCATTCTGCGTTTGTTACACTTGCTATCAGAGTTGGTTATGAGTACAAAGAAGGCTAAATAATACCTTCCTTTCAGCTCCTTTCAGCTCCTTCCTTTTCAGATCCTTTCTTTGCCTTAACTTCTCCTTTTCACATCTGCTTTTTTGTCTGCTAGAGGGCTGCCATCCAGAAAGCCATAGTATTGTGGTCTGGTGTCCAAAAATACATATAGGGTGGCAGCAGTCACATAGCTTATTTACTGTGCGTTGTTTTGGAACAGGAAACACAAGGTGAAAGCCCAAGCACGGAGGTGTAACACAGCGTGATCGGCAGGACTTGCTCTGGGAAGCAGGCTAGGACCTTCAAGCTCCATGTGATGTTTTCAAGTGCTTCCCTAACTTTGAAATAACAGGATTTATGAGTCACTGAAATTCCTGCAGTGTGGTACAAACAACTAAGTTGAAGAATTAGTTGAAGTTTGGTTTCCAAGAGATCCTGGATTAATCCTCAGACAGCAGCACTAGAGCCTGGCTGCGTGCCAGAGAAATGCCCTCCGCTGCCCAAGCAGAGGAAGCAACCCAGCATGTAACGAAGGAGATCTGCTCTGCCCTCAATCCTCTGGACGATGCTGGCAGCAGTGGGAGATGTCAAAACATGAGCTATTAACAGAGAAGAGAAAAACAAGTCTCGGAAAACACTATTTTCTCTTACAAGTTAAGCATTGTAATCATGTGCTCTGTAGTTTGGCTGCAAAGAGGTGAGGTAGCTTTGCTTTGAGAGTGGGAGGCGCTGCGAATAATCAACTGACTGGCTTTAAGCCACAAAGAGTAAAGCTAAAGGCATCAACAAGAATGATTTAGCAAAAGACAAAGATAAGGAAAGGAGCTTCCACAAACATCTAGGGGAGGGAAATACAAAGAGCCTGTTAGTGTAGGTGCACTGAGGTGAGATCAGTAACAGATGGTAGCAATCTGTGTAAAATAAATATGTGAAATGGGGCGGGGGTTGGAAACCATCGTGGATGTAATGCAGTTATTGATACATGGCAGGTGAGAAAATATTTATGGAATGTAATTCTACTGCAGCATAGCGGGAATCCAGACAGTTGGCTTTACTGGTCAGTAAGGGACTCAGCTAACGGAGTTACCGTAGTAAGAGTGAGTGTTTAGCTAAGTAATAAAGCAGTAGGGATGTGCTAACGGGGAAATACTACAGCTTAGCAATCAGAGGCACCTCTTTTGTTGATGATTACAAATAATTTGGGGGATTTAGAGACTGATACTTTGACTTTTACTAAAGCATTTGGAATAGACACCGAAGGCTGTCAGAAGTGATTAGGGTTAGAGATTAGTCACACGCATTGATGAGTGAGTGAGTCCTTTATGTCTGTGATCTACAGACTAATGCTGATCCTAATGCTGAGGATAGAGAGAGAAACTGTAATTTGATTTTTACCTGGTCAATATCTGAGGAGAAAATCCATAGGTTCTATTTAGACATTATCGGTAGGTACCTAATTGTATTTGACCTCATACAAGCCAGCAGCTGAAAGATAAATCTGTACTACCAGTGAGTGTACGGAGAGACTGAAAACTGCAGGGTCACAGGGTACTGACAGTAGGTGAACCCACAGTGGTTTCCATCAGGAAAACATAGTTTGAGACACAGGAATCTTGTTCACTGGGCAATTCAGTAACACTGCATTCAGTTCTGAGCACACCATTGCTGTAGAGGAGCTTGACAAATAGAAATTCAGAGAGCAGCCAAAGTGATCAACAGCTGGAAACAAGGATTTGGGTGGAATCAGAGGAGCTGAAAAATGCCTGCTTGGTGAAAGTGAAGGTCGCAGTATGGGATGACTGTCCTGGTGGAGGTTTGCTCACAGGAGGGAGGAAATGGGATTTTTTTACAACACCTTGACCAGTAACCAGAATATTGAAGTGCTTACTCAGAGATGCCTTAGGCAGCATGTTTTCCCGCTGGGAAAGTCCTATTAATTCTCTGCTAAGATCTGGCCAGGCCAAAACGACAACACTGGATACAAATCCCTGCTGTCAGGGCTAACGGCACATGTCCTCAGAGACCTGAGAGTCAGCATAAGCACTTCTGATCCCTCGCCTTTGAACCAGAACACACCAGCACTTGTGAAGAGACTGACAAGAGTGTGAAGCAGAGCATTTGAAGCAGGAGCTGTATGCTGCTCCCTGCTCTCCTGGGAAACATTTAGGGCTCTCTGTAGCACTGGAAGCAAATATGCTTCTCAGTCTTGAAACGCACTCACAAATGCTTGTTTTTTCTGT